TGATAAAGAGATCAGAAGTCAATACAGTCGGTTTTGAGAAAATATGAGGAGATTTAAAAATGACCATTCTAAATACAAAGCTTCATGTTATTTCAATACTTCAGTGCAAAGAGTCTGCACAGCTCTATGTAAGGCTACTGTATGATCAAGTGATTGCTATTATATTTGCAACAGTGATTAAAGGACAATATTAAATGTAAAAAAAAAAACGTTAGACATTTCTTCTTACATACATTGTATATGAATTCATACTACCTTTGTATATGTAAATAAAATCAGATGATCAAAGTTGACCACATACTGCTGCTTTTTCCTCCAAACAGTGCATATTTTTCTTTTCTCTTTTTGTTAAAATACTTAATGAATAATGAAATGAAAATAATGAGGGGAGTGTGGGAATATACATGATTTTTTATACATGGAGATGGGTTTAGTGTTAAGAGTAGGGTAAGATACCACTCTTGGTCTGTGAACACGAACCTTTGCCCCACATATTTCCCTGGGAACTGCTGCCCACTGCTCTCTAAGGGTCAGAATAAGCTAAGAAAACAACAGTTGAAATGTACATTTTATGATTAACTGCTAATTAGCTGATTATCCTTTTTTAGCGTTGATACCTAAGTGGGAATTCCTTGATATCAAATATGCACCTTGGAAAATCCCTTCACCTCCTGCGTAGATGATGACTGTCTTGATGTCATCTGTTTTTGACTATATGTCACTGAAGAAAATGTCTAGTCGGGCCCCTAAACTACCAACTGGAAGTCTGAGTCCCTCATGCTTTCACATCTAAAGAAAGTTATTTAATGCTTTTACTGAGGGATTGGAATATTTTACATACTTCAGAATTGATTGGGGACCACTTAACCCAAACATGTGTTTTACATTTGTCTGGCTAAGTCTGCAGGACCCAATACTTCCTTCAATAATATTATAAAAGAGGACAAGCAGGAGACTGAGAAGTTTTTACATTTTTGTTTTATGAAACATGCAGAGAGGGGAAAGTGAAACATATGTCTGTCTTTGCTGGAAAATAGTAGCTCAGTAACATATATATTATTTATATGTGATGACATAAACATCTGTGGAATAAAATTTCTGAATGAGATCACTGTAATGCATCTCAGACAGAGGTCCTGATTCCCAAAACGTCTCAAAAAAATTCAAAGGATTGTCATGACTAGTTTCTTCAGCCTTTGCTTTGATGACATGCTTCAGTGGGTGTCTATAGAGATACCAAGCACAGGCTGTCAGGGTAAATTCCTCTCTAATGGACGCGGCAATTGAATCTCTGAGTTTCTATGAAAACCTCATGGTGTTTGAAGTACTAAAAATAGTCCCTCTGGGTCAAAGTTTATTCATGCATTGTAACATATGTTTTTGAAGTTTTCGAGAAATTCCGAGCCCCCTTCCGCTTACCCTTTGTATGGGAGGTCAAAATCCTTCTAAAATTTATTGTTGTTCCCAACACCATGTCTCCTCCTTGTCAGGAGGGATTTAGCAACAGCCCTTCAGAGGATTTCAAAACTTTGGGTGGTATCAAATGTAAAAAAAGAAAAAAAACTGAATCTGTCAGTGACTTTCATGATCTCTCCCAATTTTCCATTCATCGCTGAATTCCTTGCATTCCTCCATTCATCAGAGGTCAGACAAGACAAAAAGAGCAGGAGCCTCAATGTGTGAGAGAGATCCGGAGCGTGGGTGGTTAGGGAAATGATGAAACAAGTTAGTCTAATAGTGAAAACCACCATTTAGGACAAGCCCCCATCAGCTACCAGGATACGCACAGACATAGACCCATGCTAACCGATCGCCTCTATCTCCATTACCCCATACGGCATCATCTGATGACAATAGAGAGAAAATCTGCAGACATTATGACACGTTTCCAGTCATGTTTCCAGTCAATACTTTCCCTGGGTCAGAGTTAATCTTTCCAGCATTAAAATAAATAAAAACATAGAGGGTTCTGGTTTCCAGTGTAAAACATAAACTTATTAGCTCATTTATCTGCATCCGGGTGGGTGGAAGGGGGACTATCAGAAGCTTTCTGAAGAACAGGAAACTTCATCTAAAAAAAAAAATAAAATAAAAAAGCTGGTGGCTTCTTGGAAACTCTGCAGCGTCACTCTACAGAATCACTTTGATCCACCCTGACAATGCAGTTTAAAATGAAGCCAAACCACCATCTACTGAATAAAGTGGGATAATGATGCTCCAATTAGATGGCATTTACAGTTTTTTAGCTGACACTTTAGATCGGAGTGACTTAACCCAAGTGAGTAAGTTGTGACTTATTGAACAGAATATTCTGCATCTTCAGCATTGTCAGCCACTGACATTTCTAATGGGAATGTGCAGAGTTTCGCTATTTTTACAAACCAAAACTGAAGAAATAACAGAATGCAGTACATGCCAGCCAAACATCTGGGAAACATAAAATGTTTTCCTGCAATCAGAGTCATTAAAGTTGTTCAATCCTTGGACAGAAATATATAAATAAAAAAGACAAAAGCAGGTAAGGCCAACACAATAAAGGATGATGGCTTTTCTTTCACTTTTAATTTTCAAATATTCTGAGCTCTACTGAATTTTACATCTTTAAAGATCAGAAGTAGAGTTTGAAACATGTCTGAGGACATAATTAATAATAAATTAAAAAAACTTACTTATAGGAACAGCAGAAGTGGCCAAATTCCTATTAAAACAGAACAAAAAGACTTAAAATGTTACACAAAGTTTCCCCACTTTTTAGCAAAATTTTGTAAAGCTGCTCACATTTTGCATTTCCTATCCAGTAATTATCCTTCAACTTTTAGATGCTTCCTCGGTCCAACTCACCTGAATCAAATGGCTGAATTACTGATTCAAATTCTCCAGAGTCCTTTTGACCATTTAATGTCTAATTAAAAGTGCGTCTAACCAAGAGCAAGTCTAAAAGTTACAGGATACCAACCCGCAGGAACTGGAATTACCCACCACTGGCCTAAACCGAAGCAAATGGTGACTGCAAAGACAAATAAGGATTAAGACTGAGCCAAATTTAAACATCCAGCTTGGGAGCCATGACGTTTTTTACCTCAACTAAACTTCCCTTGCCCTAAATGTAGCGTTCCAGTTGTTAAATGTAATAAAAGCACAAATGAACACTTGCCTTGAGGCAATAACCCCTTATATAGTTATTTTAGTGTGCTTAGAGAAAAATAAAGAAAAATAATCCTTACTTATAAGTTAAAAAGCTTTTTTTTGCTAGTTCAAAAAACTTACAAACTTACAATTAAGAAGCAACATTTTTCTCCGTAAACCCTGGTTTGGTGTATTTAAAACCTACTCAGGAAGACCTGGGAGTCTTCCTGAAAAGAACAAAAAGAAAACTCCACTTCTCCTTACATAGAAAGTACTTTATTTAGATTCAAAACAGTTTACACTAATTCAGTATCCCTAAAAAGAGAGGAAAACTAGTCGGATGGGTAAAAAAAAAGGGATTTGAGCAGATTCATGCTTTTCACTTTTGCAGAATATTCAGCAGCTTTAAAAAAAAATCTGCTCTTTTCAGGAATGTTGAAAAGCAAGAAGAGTTTAGGAGTTTTCTTTTGAGTAAAAAAACAAGTATTTCAGTGACAAAGCAATCTGTTATCATTAATCTTTTTTATGGTAATAAGTGTTGCGTTAAATGTGGGTTTCTGCTGCCCCCAATTAGCTAAGAAAATCATAAGAAAATCAGAAAAGAGTTTCCAAAAATCAAATAAGACACAGGTAAAAAAAAAAAAAAAACTTAAACCAGATGAAAGAACAACTCAGCTAGGCTAGGCACTGTAGGTAATATAACTGTAATGCTATTACAGCCATGTATATTGCAGTCATAGACTATTTTAGAAATAAGAATTAAATATCTTATCAAATTTAATAAAAAAAATCATAATTTTTTTATATTTAGATTTAGATTATAAAGATACTGGCAGATAAATTATCGATTCCCCTAATGGTAAAGTTGTAAGTGAAGTTTATGCAATTGGCAACAAACTCATACAGAAAAGGTGAAACAGGTTTTGGTTTTTACTGTTTTTAAATTGATTTTTTTGTTTTTTTCGTTATCTGAACCTTAGCCTCTAAACAGCAAATGATTTAATAAAATGGGCCAATAGAGATGTTACGAGCACATTAACATTTTAGATTTATGCTTTTCTTTTCTTTCATTGTGCCACAGATTTAATAACTGTATGACTGTTATTAAACATATTAATTGTAAATGTATAGTCTCACTTTAAGAGATTCAAACTGACTTTATAACACACAAAAAAAGCCTTCTGAAAAGTAAACTATTGAATTTCTCAAACTTGGCATAGGTGGATAGATATGCTTGTGGAGCTATTTTTGTCTTGCTTTAACCAGGAAGTTATTATTGAAACAATCAAATAGATTCAGGGTTCTTTCAAAATTTCCCCAAAAAACAAATATTTGGTAAAAAAAAAAAAAAAAGAAAAACAGGAATAAAGTTTCCAGGTGTAAGAGTTTCAGTTTTTATTGTTTGAGCCGGTTTTGTAGCCTGGAGGTCTATCAGAAAGCCACCATTCTTCTGTTTGTCCCTATTGATCACATTTTTCGAAATGTCGCAGCTTTATGATGTTACTTTACAAAAAAGTACTTTTATTGGTTTGTAGACAAGATTTTACAGATTAATCATCACAACCTCTCGCTGCTCCCCATCATCCTTCAGACTGATTGCAGTGCTGTGAGAGAAAGTGGTGGGATGATCTAACTTTCTTAATTCATTTTTTCTTGGACCCTGGGTGTTCCTGTGTGACACTGATTTCATTCAGATTAGCAATGGAAACAAAGAAATGTGGAGCTTTCTGAGATAAAGAGGGGTAAGAAGGGGAGGCTGGACAGCGTGGGCGTCGAAGCTCAGGCGGCAGCGACGGCTGATGACTCAGGTGATGTGTCATACTCCAAGCTATAAAAGGGAACTTTTACATTTTGTCCACACAAACACAACCACACACACGTACAGTACTCACACTGGACTCAGAGGGACTTTTGTTTACTACAGCAGCAGCCGAAAGATGAAATGTAAGTTTGTTCATCTTACTTTTAGAGGAAGACATCAAGTGTTTGTGTGTGTAGATGTGTGTGTGAGAGAGAGAGAGAGTGTGTGTGTTTGTGTGGGGGAGGTGGCAGTGATGGAGGGGTGGGGGGGATCCTCACTACACGTGGTCTTTACTTTTACTTTTCACCTGAAAATGTCTGAGAGAGAGTCAATGCAAAAGTCAATGAATGGGAAGCTGTTTCAGTTTGAGGCTGAAGGATGGGAGTTTGTTTTATTTAATGTGGATTCTGAAAAACCCACTGTTTGGCTCCAGCTTCGCTGTGATTGGATGATTCGTTGTGGGTAGGATAGTGTGTGTGTTTTTGTGTGTTAGGGATTTCCCCACATTCCTTCAACAAGTCTGAGGACTAAATTGCTTTATTTTTCTTTCCTTTAAATCTTCAGGTATAAGTTATCTTCATAATTTTAACTACAGTCACAGAACAAAATATTAATTCTCCTGTGATTATTTTCTGACAACCTGAAGGTTTCTATTTATGTAACCTATGCTAATTTGAATCCTTTGAGAAACAAATAGTCTTGAAATAACCTTAGTCTTTAACCTTTAAATATAGTAAAACTTTTTGTTGTTTGTTTTTTTAACAGTGACAATAATATTTTCAATAACTTATGAGGTTTAAACTTTAAACTTAACCAACAGCACTGACAAAAGTGCTGTGTTTTGTTTTCTCTCTAAGCCACTGCATCATTAAGTGTCTGGCTGATTGGTATTGATTTGCAGAGGGACTCCTCACACCACATGCTGGGCGTCACTGAAAGCAGCAGCAGTGACAGGTTTTAGTTTGTCCTGCATGTTATGGTTCTCCCGTCTGGTTCTCTATCTAGGAAACAGAAGAAAAACTGCATTAATGGGGAAATTGAAGGTCCAAATGTGATAGGGAAGGTTTTTTTTTATGTAAAATTATATTAAAGTAGGATTTTCTTAAATGTTAAGTTAAGATCCATTAAACAACAGGAAGCTTATATCAAAACATTTGATCTATTTAAATATGAGCTTGTGATAGATATTTGTTTTGTTTCCTCTCCTTCTTCTGGCTATATAAATAGTCATATGAAGCTGTTATTGTCCCAAAAGTCATTGTTGCTGCTTAATAAATCAGAAGAAATTGAGCTATTGTCTACGAGTCACTCCTGCAGACAGGGATGTCGTCATCCCACATCACTTACAGTAATCCAGTCTGCAGGCTCTCTGTTATGGGCCAAATTGATCCTGTGATGATGAATCAGCACTTAAACAAGCTCATCCAAGCGGTCATAGTTGGTATTGCAAACAAAAAACACAAAATGCTGCGAAGAGGCTTGTTCCTTTTTTCATCTCTTTGTTTTTAAAACTGTTGACCTTGTAAATAGATGAGTCATGTCAAAGCTGCTGAATCAGCCGCTTATCTATGGGCTATCGTCCATATAGAGTCAGAGCAATGATTACATGGATGCAGTTGTGTAGGAGAAAGTATCCTGATGTAACGTTACACTGAATGTGTCAAATGTGATAATAGGAAACAGGAAACAGTGCACTGTTACATGAAACTGCTGCGTACGTCTATCTATGCAGAGCTGATTTAACATGATCGGGTATCTACTTTTCTACAGCCTAAGGCATGTGTTTTAGATTATTTTCACCTTTTTTTTTTCAGAACCAGAGGTTTCAGCTTATTTAGCTGCAGAGATGAAGGTTTGCAGAAGAACTGCCAACTTTAATCATGTGCAGCTTGGAATGTCAGACTAAACATTCAGCTATCCGATCATAACATAAACCTCTGAAACTAAAATAAAAAGCTATCAGATAAAATTCAAAGAAAAAAAAAAAAAAAAAAAAAAATATATATATATATATATATATATATATATATATATATATATATATATATATATATATATATGTATATTTCTCTACATTTAAAACTAGTTTCATATAAAAAGATATGCAAATTTTGATTAGACAATATTTGTTTAATTGTTTAATTAGGTCATGAAATAGGCTTAGATAACTTTTATATTTAAATCTGGAGAATGAGAATCTGATGATATAGATTGGGACACCAAGTAAAAATGCAGTTTATTTAATATTTATAAATGTATTTCCTTTGATCTTGTTTAAAACAGGAAGGCAAGAGAGCTTATTTTTCAAATAAGGCAAATTTTTTTTCAATTTTTACAATTTTTGCAAAAAACATTCTCCTTAACTAAACCAGTTCTACATTTACGGTAGAGTAATAATTGTGAAGTTTAAAAACATAGAAATTTGACTAATAGTGGGTCACCTAAAACTTTTATTTCCGGCTTCTTCATGCATCCATCTAAGTAATGCCAGCTCCCATTTGCTTGATATAAACTGTGACTGTGAGCAAACAGGTTGTTTGTTTCATAAAGTAAAGTTTAAGTTTAGTCTATCTGAAGAATCTGATGATAACTCAGTGACACTAAAGTAAGTGTTTGACTTTCAGTTTTCAAATCCATCAGCCTCTAGTGTCTGTTTTTCTTTAGGTGCAGAATAAAGCAGAGCGGAGTGGGAAGTAGGTCTGTAGCTGGAAACAGCTGCTTGTTGCTGATTAAAACCAGACCCTGAAGGTTTAAACTACCAAAAAGACACAGTTAGTTTGGTTAGTTTGCTGAAATGGGTAACAGTCATATACCGCTTCAAAAATTATACTACATTTTTATATAATATGTCAGCATTTTGTTCAAACATTCTGATTTTATGTTTAATAGGATGACTCAGTTCACAGCAGGAGCGTGGAATAAAAAATGTAAACATTAGAGAAGCATTAATTTATGAACTTAAAAGCAGAGAGTTCTTTGAGGTAAACAGAGCACCTGTTCATGAGACGATTCCCTGTCCTTGAAAGTAAAAGCAAAGAGAGCTGAGGAAATAAGGCGTCCACTGAGCACACAGGAAACTCCAGAGTTTGTTTGTCTGACCCAGCAGAAAAAAAAAGGGGGCACGAACTCAAACGGAAACTGAGGAAGCGGGTGATTATGTGAGACACCGCACGCACTTGTTGGTGTTTCATGTTTGAGTAAATGTGTTCTGACGAAACGCACCGCTCCACACATCAAACACGGCCCATTCACTGTGCTTCTGAAGCAACTTTACTGTGAGCCGTAATGCTGTCACAGCTGTTTACTCTGCCAGATACATGACTGTACACTGCACCGCCGCTGGATGTTATTCTTTACTTTTTCTATCCCTCTCTTTAACCTTTTTGCTGATTTCTTTCTCAGTAATTTTCCAGCTGCTAACATAAGGATTCCAGTTGTCCAATGTGTGTCCCTGGCAAAATGAAAACTCTAACTGTTCATCACTGCATTAAACCAAGATAAAGGCTGATGATAGATAGTTTCACCCTGAATTTTCCTGGGTAATTATCTGAAATAAAACACCTGTGTGTGATTAAAAGCTCTATTTAGACCTCTTGTATAATGTTCTTCGATTTGGCTGTAGTATTGAGTTTTGGTGGTGTCACAAAACCACACATTTATTTAGTGTGAACAGCAAGAATTTTTTCCCCAGATGTATTCCCCCTGCATATTTATTCCACCCAAATTTCTCTCAAAAAGAGCTGAACCTTTTTTTTTTTTGACTGGAGTTTTGTCTTATTTTGACAAAACCAGGCTGAAATAAGTTATGAATCCCATTACAATGGAATTTGTCTCTTTTTTTCCCCCAGCAATTTCTAATATTTTCCCACAAATGTTTATAACTATGGCAAACAGCCAAAGAAAACAAGATTTAAAGCTTTTCTAACCTCTGTACCAGAGCCTTACTACACCCACATCTAGTATTTGAAAAATGTGCCTAAAGGAGGAGCTGCCATGTGGACCAGAGAATGTTCCGGGGGTTGGGGGTGTGGATGTGTGCTCTGATAAGCTAAATAAATGCTAAATACACCAACTGAATGCTAAGCTAATGACTCTCTAATCTAATCTTTAAAAAGAAGGGGAAGTTCAATATCCCAAATTATATACCCACAGCTGTAGTGAACAGTTGCTGTTTTTTTTTTTGAGCCCACACCAGTACTGATTCCATTTCAAATACAGTTGTTTAAAAACTATTAAACCTGAGAAGGGCGCCAGTTTTAGACAGAAAAGCAGGATTTCCCCTAATGGGCATTGAATTGTCCAAATGATGCCTGGAACGTTTAGATTGCTCTGTAAGATACCAATGTTTACTGATAGCTAATTCACTGTTATTTTGGGGTGAGTCATCCTTTAAGAAGCAGAGTAGTCTGATGGTTTTGTTCTGTCAGAAAAGGAAAGTTTCAGGTCTAAAGCAAAGAATGTGCAATGGTTTACTATAAAGTTTGATTATGAAATAAAGAGGTCAGTGTTCCGGGCAAACTAAAGCAGCATCATTGTAGTGATACAAGTTAAGAAACCTTAAATATTCAACAGTATGTGTTTAAATTCTCATAGATAATAAGAAACGCATATTTCAAACCTTTTATAGACTGTATTAGAACACTGTCAGACAATTAATTCTAGCCTAAAACATTTAAACTGCTGATCATCTTGATTCTTACTTGATTCTTCTTACTCTATTTAACTTTAAGGCAATCAAGATTAAAAAAGATTTAGAATCTGAAATAAAATACATGCTTAATTTAACAGGTAAAAACTGTTCCCACCTGCTGCCTTTAAATATGCTATAAATTGGACCCGTTTACAGTAAGTGTCTGTGAGGTAGTAAAAGTGTCTGAAAACGCCTAATGGGCTTGACAAAGAGGATGTTTTTTTTCAGCCCAAGGCGTCAGTCTGCTGATGTCACCACATGCAGACTATTCTGAGTCAGATCGGTGGGCTTGCTCGTCTCTCTTACACCAACAGAAGGCTCAAAGCACGCTGTAAAAAACCCTGCATAGCTCACATTCCTTAAGCATGACCTAACTCATCTAACGGACAAACCTTTTCTTTGTGGCTTTGCGGTTTGGTTTTTCAAGCTTTCATAAATCACTGAACAGGTTTACAAACAGGAGCTAACCTTGATGCCAATGTTAGCCCTTCTAAGACGGGTGATTAATTATTAAGAACAGTTAAAGAGCAAGGTTTAAGCCATTAATTCTAGAATTATATTTTCTCTCTCTAGATTCCTCAAGCATAGTATGGGATGTTTAAACTCAGTATGCTTAGGATTTGTTCAAAATATTAGTATGTCATGAAAACAATTTAAGTTTTCCTAAAGGTCTTAGAGGATTCATTAATGTTTACTAAATGACACCTGTGTCCATAGTTGACAAACTCAGGCAAAATGGCCTAGTTTCTTCAATTCTGCAAAATAACAGTAATCCTATAGAAACCAATAGAAAATGTACAGTATATAAATGTTTAAATGAAGAACATCCTTATTATATAGTCGATAAAGTATTTATTAAAGATTTCATCTGCTGTGGTGCACTGAATTTATCTTGATGCATGAAGTATTTGCAGATCTCTAAAATAGTAACACTGCAGACTGTCTGTAGAGTTACAGCACTGAGCCCACCTCAGTTTCCAACAGTTGGTGTTTGTGCGGAAACAGGTCTGAGCTTGATGGGAAATGAGGACACAGACGCCAAAATATGAAGAGGCTGCATACCTCTTATTAATGTTATCTCAAAGGCTGTGAGAAAGTAAGGAGTATCCACAAAGTCTAACAGCACAAACTCCTTAACACCCCAAAACACCCAAATTTATCACCAGACAAACCAAACCTCAAATAATTCAACAACGTTGATAAAAAATTTCAGAGTGTAAGTTCATAAATACTCATAACCATTAATATATAAAACATTATAATGGTCAAGTTGATTTAAGATACAATGCAAATCCTTGGTTACAGAAAAATCCCCCAACAGATCCCGGTACTGTAGTATCTAATGATAGGCACCTTAATCCCTATAATGGGCATAAACTTACAATACATCTTATCTCAAGGGACCTCACAGAGAAATTTTAGCTCATTCATATAGAAAGATTGATTAAACATTCTGTATATAAGGAAATCCTGCTGATTCTATCCAAATATTAACGTTACAGGCTTTGCTTCGCTCCTCCAGGATGAGCATATGGTGACAGCGGACATTTGCTTGTATTGTGGTGTTGACTTTGTGGCAGTTCCTCAAAATTGAGCATTTATGCAGCAGCAGAAGGCAGGAAAACTCCCTCTTGACACAAATAACCCCCCACACCCACCCCCTGTTGATTTTCTTCAACAGGGGTGTATGATCAAGGTCCAGAATTTGTATTTCCAGCACCACAACATAGACTGGGAACTAATCACCTTGTAAAGTGAATAGAATTAAGGAAAAGCAGTTAGGGGTTGATTTGACAAAAACTAAATAATTGGAGAATTGAGGTAGAAAGAACCAGAATTGTAAAAGTGGCCTTGATGCCTTCCAGGACACTAAGCCTATAGCAGCATATCTATAGTTATAGTCAAAGACTAAATGTCAGATTACTATAAATAATAATAATCACCAAACATACTTAATGTATCCATTAATCTATTAAACCACATTTATTTCTTGTAGCTCCCGCACAGACACTGGGCAAGGGGTAAGATACTTAGTGGCCAGGGTGCAAAAGTCTCACAGGGCAAATATAAACTTATTGCTATACATGTGCACAGTTTGATTTAGAGCAAATCTAGAGACTAATTAACCTCTTATACATGTTTTGAGCTGCAGGAGTAATCCAGGGTAGATAGACTTTGCAAACTGCGTGTAAAAAGGCCTCCGTTGAGGATATTATGTTGTCTTTCAAGCATGTATCTCATGCATGTGCTGAACTCTTTATAACTTGTTTATTTTTCCCAGAAACACAAGCTATCATTGTGCAGAAATCTGTTTATATTTGACGCATTTGGGTCTTTAAGCATCCATCCACACCACAACCGCTTTTCTTCCCGTCACAGAGGTTAAACATCTTAAAGCTCTTATCTGATTTTTAGAATGACTGTTAATGTCTAGACGACAGGATGCTTTAGATTAATCTGATAAAACTGTAAAATGAGGGTTACAATTAATGTGTGCATCAAAGCATCAATGTAAATGTTCATGTTAAGGATATTGCGGGGGTAATGGCGGGTAGGTTTTTCTCTGGCTTTAAAGTTCTTGAGCCTAATGACTGTAAGGTGTTAATGTTCCACTTGCAGGAAGTTTCAGGTAATTGTTATGTGAGATTATTGGCCTCCTTACTGTCGTGACAAACTACAAGCTGACTGCAGCTACCTCAGAATTAATCTTGTGCGTCATGAGGTGTTTAGAAATGAAAACAAGTATGAATGCGATGTTGTGGTTTTCACTCTGAATCACAGCCACAGCGCTTCTGGGTCAAGGAGAAAGGAAAGGAATCTTAGATGTTCTCCTTTTGAATGCAGCGATTCACACACCTGCCTGCACAGCTGTGTGAACAGCTACAGCTGGATGTTAGTGAGTCAGATAAGTGTTTTTTTGAACATGTCTGGATTTGGTGATTCCATCTGAAGAAGAACCATTTCTGTGTTGTCATGGAGAGGATTTTAAGAAGGTAAAAGAGTTTCCAAAGGCTAATTGTTTGCCCTCTTTCTTGTCTCCACAGTAATTCCTGAGACCTTCTCTTGTCTGTTCCGACTGCTGCTCCTGACTGAGCTAATTGTTCAGTCTTCATCTCTTCCCACCCACAGCTCCTCCCACTGTGGATTTTTTGGACAAATGATACATCAGGTGGAAAGTTTGATGAACTTATCCAAAAAAATGCATGAGTTGGTAAGGTTTGTTTTATGACTCCTTGATTTCCTATTTGATAAATACGAAAATAATTTCCCCACCCTGAATCATAGCTCTTAATATTTTATCTTATCTCTCTAGAATTTTACTAATTTAGCAACAAAATTGGCAACTAAGGGACCTAATTTTTTCCATCCATCTTTTGCTGTTATTTTGATGAAGCCAACTAATTCACTTTTTCTCTTTTCCTGAACAGAGAAATGAAGAACTGCAACATTTTGAAGAAGTCCCAGTAAAGCTGGAAAATCTGCCTGATTTGCATTACACTGCTAGCCATTTAAGGAAACTAAAGGTAGAAAGTTTTAAAGTTTAAAACTACTTATCTCGACTCTTTACTCCAAAATACAGCAGATTTGATTACCATAAACACATTAAATAAGAGACTGTGTATTTTTGTGTCTTGTGCAGGTCAATGAAACCCTAACCCTGCTGCATACGTACACTCAGTCTTTCAGACTCCATATTGACTGGTTGAAAGATGCAAAAGAAAATTTCAGTTTGCCTTTCCAGACTGAAGTGAGCGCCAGTTCTCATCTACTGCACTTGTCCAACCTCATTAAAAGATGTCTTCATCCGGTAGGTTGTCTCGCTTTGATTACCCTCAAAAATATGGAAGAGTCGTAGAAACAAAGATGCTAATTAAATGCAAAAAAGACATTAATATCACAAAGATGCATGACAGGCTAAAATCAGAGAAAAGAGAAACATGTTTATTAAAGTTAAATGAAATAAATGAAAAGCTGTATTGTATATAGGAAACAATTTTCTACAGTTTTTCTAAATTTTTTAGACTTCTTGTATATAGTTATAACATAATGAAATATGAGCTACAGGAAATAGTGAAAAAACATTTTAAACTAATTGGTTAATAAGTTTTCTTTCAGTTAAATTGATGCCGTCTTGGATGTTTTGATATGTTTGTATCATTATGCTCTTAATAATGGGAGATCTCACTGTAGCTGTTTTCTTTGTTTTTCAGCCAAACGAAAGTGGTCTTCAGTCTACTGTTCCCCACCTTCCTGTTGTCTCCACCGCCTTTGAAACCCTATTGTACTCCATAGAAATCTCAGACAGGTTAAACGTCTTCTGTGTGTGGTCAAAGAGAATCTTACGGTACATCCACAGGCATTCTTAAAAAAGAAAAAAAAAGGTGTATGGTACTTTCAGAGGCAGTACTGATGCCGTGGGTATTATGCCAACGTCATCAGAAAACCACTGTTCACCCCAGAATGTTTTGAAGCAGTATTATGTCATGCTAGTGGACTACCTCAAGATGGCAGAGTTAGATAACCCACCATGTTGGTGCTGACCGAGAGAATAGACGATTTATTATCCTCCTTCTTTTACAAGCACAACTTCAGTTTAGCTTAGAAATGTGACTCCACTTATTTATGAGACAGAGTAAAAACTCACAGGCACTCAAAACAAAAACACATTTTAAAACTTTGCCAGATCTTTTTTTCATTATGGTTGCAAAAACAGTTTGTTCTTATACATAATGGTGTATTTTGGGGAATATGTTTGAAAGGAAATTGTCTTAGATGCACATCCAATCACAGCCTCACATAGGAATGTTTTCTCAATAACTTTAGCATATTTAACCCCATAGAATCTAAAACATAACATAATTGTCAGAATTTTCTAATTTCTGAACCTAGAGTCTTTCTTGAACTTTCAGACAAATACAAACAAGAATGAGATCTAATTGTGTAAATAGGATTTCATATCATTTGTGATACATTTTTGTGTAATTTATTATGCATTTTCTGTTCACTACATGCAGCTGATTGTGACAGTTAGATTTTTAAAGAAAAAACATGTTTATGTGGAGGTCTAAAAATCAGTTATGATAAATCTGGGGTTACAGGGTTAAACCATGCTCACACATTGAAGGCAACACCATCACCATGTTGTCAAACAGTTTGCAGAACTTTTCATGATCAGTAGATTAGACAAAAACAAAATTTCCCTGTTGACACATTAATTATTTGCTGTATCAATATTTTCTGTTAGTGTTTGCACTTACCATGCAGAAAGTGTTTTTGGTTTATCATTTTTAGGAAGAGTTTTTAAAGTGTCTTGAATTTGCAGATTTTGGTAGAGCTTCCATTCATGTGTCTAGTCTAAAGACCAAAAACTGAAAACAAAAACAACTGTGCTCAAAATATTTAAATAAATTTAAATAGAATAGCTTCATTCTTACTCTGCCATCACTATGTTTCAGCTATGTGCCTGATGGTTGATAATCAGCAGCAAAGGTGCAAAATTTAAAGTTGGAGTTTTTAGTAGAATTTGCAGCCTGACTCAGACTGTTCTTTGCTTACATATAAAAGCTGTTTCTGATGCCATTATTGCCTCTTGCTGGATTGGCATGAATATTTCAGCATTTTCTTGAACGTTTGCCAAATAGAGAGAGTTGATTCTTTTTGAAAAAGCTTATCTAAGCTTAGGGCATGAGTGGAAAGCCTCTTAATGTTACCAGCATGACCCAGTATCATTTCTACATGTTTTAACTGGTATGAATGGTGCATTGTTTACAAAGGATTTTTCTTTAAACAGGTTGTCATGGTTATTTAACATAAAGCAGAATGTAGGTTTATCTCATTAGTTTAAGAAAAATAATGTTTTCTTTTACATGTAGCCGTTTAAACTGTACTTATGCACTGTGCCGAGGTCCCGTCATCTGTGACCTTTTCTTCCACTGAGACTGTTTACATGGACAGTGCCTGACAGGTATTGATTGGAACACTGAACCAAGTGGCAAAAAATATGCATTGTGTATTAACTCTTTAGTTTATTTTTTTTCTTTTTTATCTATTTAGATTGCTATTTATCAGTTTTTTTTGTTTATTTTTTTTATATTTTATATTTTGTATTTGAACAGTGAGGTGCTGGCATCTCAATTGTTCTATAAATATGGTTTTATGTCACGTATGATATTAATATTAATGTATTATCTTTTATTGTAACTTATACTATTTATACTATTATAATGTATTTGTTTTATATATTTTATGTTATTAATAAAATAATTAATTGAAACCTCAATAAAACTGTTGTTTTATTATTATTTATGTATCGATACAATGGAAAGACCAAGAACCGTAATTTGCAGCATTTCAACTCATGAAAGTACTTATCAAGATTGTTTTTGTTTTGAGTGAGTAATCAGTTACAAAACGTTTTCTAAGAACACACAAGATAAAAACAGAAGTATGAATTATTTTCATAATCATGTTTATCTATGTAGATTCTCATTGTATATGTACAGACGTTGGCAGCATCCATCCATCCATTTTATGTCACGCTTATCCCAAGCAGGGTCGTGAGGGTTGCTGGTGCCCATCTCCAGCTGTGTACAGGCAGGAGGCGGGGTACACCCTGGACAGGTGGCCAGTCCATCGCAGGGCAACACAGAGACAAACAGGACAAACAACCATTCACTCACACACTCACATCTAAGGACAATATAGAGAAGCCAATTAACCTAACAGTCATGTTTTTAGACTGTGAGAGGGACCCGGAGTACCCCGAGAGAACCCACACACGCTCAGGGAGAACATGCAAACTACATGCAGAAAGAGCCGGGCCAGGAATCTAATCCAGATTTTCTTGCTGCAAGGCAAGGCACTGCGCCACTGAGCAGCCCTATTTTGGCTTTTCCTTTTATATAAAATTGAGCTAAATTGTTAAATTCCATTTGATGCTGAGCAACTCCCAGCATATAAGATAAATATGATCAAATAAAAGACTGTTTGTATTTTAAATATGATTATCTGGAGGTGTGTGCAGATTAACATTATTTTTTTTTTTCTATACTTTCATTTCATACTAAACAAACTCCATTTGAGAAGAGAACAGACTACTGACCTTGGACAGTTAAACAGTCAGTTATACATAGAACTTGCATGTATTTATGAAAAAAAAATCAAACATTACTAAAATTTCCACAGCTTTATCTGTAGATAGAAATTACCGCTAGTAAAACCTAATAAATTATTTTTTGTTCAAGATCCAAAAGGGTAAAAAGTTTGTCTCTCCTGAAGGTAAAAAAAAATCCAAAGTTATTACCCAAAAATTATCCTTCATATTCAGAGGCCACTGAAACCCAGATAGCTGCTCTAGTTTGATTCAGCTTGTCAAATTTTGCTTCATTAATATAGCATCAGTTAACACCAGCCATCCCCAGTGTAAAACCAAATTCAACACGGTAATTTTCATCTAGCAGATTTCTGCTCAACACTCAAAATCAGCAAGTTTGTTATTTTAACTTAGAAGTCTCTTTTAACAATCAGCTCAGCTTACAAGATGAACAACATACGAAGAGCAAGAACCAATAAAAAAGACGTAAATAAATGTCCATACAAAAAATTATGCTGAGGAGCCTCTATTTCTACCTTAAATCTATGTTTGTACAATATAGTGACATCTAGTGGCAGAGATGGAACAACTAACCAAAAAGACCTACAATAGCAGGAGGCCTGCTCTGTATTTCAGTTCAGGTTGTTTCCTTGTGTTTTATCTACGTAAGGCTGATTCAAATTCAATATGGCCTATAGGCATTGTCAAATCCGGTCAAATCCAATACAAATGGATTTGGAACTACACATTTTTCATATGTTTATAAGCATCAGGTGAACAGTCAATTCAGTCTATGCACCCTGTCAGTCCAAGTAAGTTGTTGAATATTTTTTAGATTTAACAAGCAAAGCTGCTCTGCTTTCTACATCCCTGCACAAATGAATATTCATTACTGCACACAAAGCATCTGCATAATTTAGGAGTTGCACTGTTGGTATCAAGTGTGTATTAAAGCGATGTTGGAGTGGGCTTTTTTTTCATAAAGCCCTATTTCTGCACGTACATCTGCCTTTGAATGGCAAATCTGACATACAGTGTTTATTTTACAGTAATCCGGAATATGATTGAAATAATTATTTTATCCAGAGTTAGATGAAACCTGCCTACATGTAATGTTTGTAAACCTTAGTCCCTTTATTGTCCCACAAAGGGGAAATAAGAGTTTTGCTCAAGGACCCACAGTGGATGCTGTGGGGTTCAAACCGGGAAGTTGCAGCCTCCTCAGAGCACAAGCGCACTGCTCTAACTACTATGCCAACACCCCCCTTTTAATAATACTTATCATATATTATATTTTGCATATTTTTAGTGGCCAACTGAAATATAATTTATGTGGTGTCGTTGTTTCTATCTAGGAAACTAAATCCCTGAGAATCCTGTAATACATTGGTTCTATTCTAACCATAATATAACATTCTGCCCTATAACTTCATCTGAAGGAACTGATTGTTTTAGTGTTGCCCTCAGAGCAGCACTGCACCCGTATTATGTTACAGTCAGCGCCACATCTGTTGATGAAATGCCAACACTAATAAAGCACTGAGGTAAATATTTATCGCACACAGCCAAGTTTCACATAAAGAAAAACACTCCTGTTCATCTGTGAACTATGAGAGTAACAGAGACTCCTATATAATGGCATCGTGTTGACATGGATGATTTTACACACGCACAGACGTTCATTGTAACAGAGTAAGCTGTCTACAGGATGTGTGGCCTGTGGCCACAACTGACAGCTGACAGGAGGACTTACAAACCACATGGGGTCTCAGTGTTGGAGGAAAATCCTTCTCCTAACACAGAGTGGAGGAGCAATGTGTGCAAAGAGAGAAAGGGGTGACAGAAAACAAACACAGATGATTTCAGTGTTTGAATGTGGGAATTAATGTTAGGACAGCATTTCACCTATTAGTATCTTCAACATTTTCTATATAAGCTGTAATTCTGACAGAGGAAACTTATTTCACAACCAGCACAAATGTAACAAGAACATAACGGAGCTTTTGATTGACCTTCTGATTGTACATTTAGCAGGGTCTAATATAGAGAGAAACTTCTTTTAACAAGTAATAACTGCCTGAGAAATCCTGAAATTCTTCTTTATCTAATGTAACCAACAGAAGAACCTGTTGGAACCTTTTCTTTTATCAAAATACTATAAAACACAGGATGATCAAAATGATAAATTCAAGTCAACAACCTGACAGCCCAAGAAACTATTGATAAGAGAAATCGGCCCATTACAGAGAAATGGAAACTGTAAAAACTAAAGATCAGAATAACAATCCAATACAACTTTATTTATATAACACTTTATAAGCCAATAGGACCAAAGTGCTGCATAATTTTAAAATAAAAAGAAACCATAAAATGCATAAAGATAAATAAAAACAATATAAAATAAATATGTACAAACAATATAGAAACAAAAATAAGAAAATACTGGAGGTACTTACACGGTTTCAGCTAAACTGTTTAATTAAAATAAAAAAACTCACCAAAGTTAATACAATACATCTTAAACCTAGATGGTTGATCTAGAATGACCAAGAATTATATGCTGTAAACATATAGCAGTATATCTCCCATTAGTCCCATCTTTAACATCAATACAACAATGAACTATACCCTGATGATTAAACACTGAAATTAAATATTTCTGTAAACTCACAAAAAATAAAGATAGTCCTTTTTTGTCTCTGAATAGTTTGGTATCTATTTGGGTTCATCAGCAGCAGAAGCAGATACTATCTAGTTATATCTACTGTAGTAGCTTAGCAACAAATACTTTTAGGAGTAATTTTTCTTTAATATACTTTTTCATTTACCTCAGTTCAAATTCTTGTTAGAGTATCGCTACTCTGATTTCAGTAAAATTTGGGGTTACTCATTTCACCAAGAGTAACTTGAGTTATTTAAAATCAGGTGAGTAAACAGCAGATGTTGTTGCTGGATGTTCTTTATCATTTCCTAACATGAATGAATTACCTACTGTAAAGATTCATTCAATTTCTTGGAAAAAAGTGTCTTCTATCTAAATTTATTTTATCTATTTATGTGTATCTTTAGTTCATTTTATACTTTAGAATATGAGAATTTGAACATAACTAATTACATATTTACTAACTAATCTGATTACATCATCTTAAACATCGAGTCAGATGTTAAGTAGAAACAGCTACTCAATACCTATCCACTGCACCAAGTACTTTTTTACTACTAGTTGAATAAATTGTTGGATGAATACTTTAAAGTTTTACTTAAGTAAACATATCAAAGTAGTGGGACTGGAGTAAAATCTTTGCCACCCTTGATCAGCAATAACTTGTGCTATTGAAGTCTTTTCTCCATACATTTTCTCATTTCCCATGTCAACACATCTGCAGTGCTAAAAAAAAGGCACAAAAACGTTTTTTTAATGGACATGATTTTATCCTGTTGAAATCAAATGAGTGATTTTTCATCTATGTATTAAAATGTTAAAACCTGGAAAAGTGTCACTAGTAATTGGGAACATTTTTAAATGAGAATTTTTGTAGTTGCACAGATGTGGTAAGTACAAAATGTATTATTTCTGCACCATTTACATCAACCATATATGTGCCTTAAACACATCCTCAGTTTCTACTTTTTATTCTATTCAGCTGAAACATTGCATCTATTCCATTTTGGTTATGAGTAACATTTTTATATTTCAGCCTCAGCAAAGTTCAGAGAAACTTGGATTTTCATAAAAGTATTTGTTGAATCTTTGAAAACACCAAATAAACATAAAAGAAAGCAAAGATGATGCTAAGTATTAGATAGAAAAAGAGACATACAGACATTCAGAGTCTCTTTTGCTCAGACCCCCACACCCAAACATGCATGACACCCTCCAGGGTCTGTCCTGCTCTGCAGCAGCAGCAGATTAACAACAGGGGGACGAGAGGACAGGAGGATATAACAGTCGGAGGTCATAGCTGCAGCTGCTGAGGACATGTAAACATTGATCTAATCGA